TACAGTTTTTTTAATTCACTTTTTAAATGTAATAATGCGATGTATCAGTTTCAGATAAACATTCATTATGTGTCAGTTTATTTGGATATATTCTTTAGCTTTCATCTAAAGATGGTCAGCCTGCCAGCTTCAACGATTTCAGCAGAGATTGAGCAGTTACGACAATTCAACTCAAACAATTCAGTTTTCAGCATTCACACTGCAATTGGAGTACATAATCTAATAGTCTGTGCTAAATCAACAATGTTAGTGCTAAACTCACAGGAATATTGTACCTCGATGAACATGAAAATGAAATGTGCCAGAACCGCTGTAAATTAAAGTCAGCAGCAGCAGTCACAGTTTGAGGAAACTCTAAATTATTTGGGTTAATATAAATGTTATTATATCACATTGTCAGCATGGGTCAGCTGCTGACACCATGTCTGTTATGGTGTTAACCTACCAGACATCTTTCCGTGCCATTCGTACCACATGAACAATTCTTGTCTCCAGTACCACAGCTATGGCACATAATTTGGTATCTATTTTAAATAATGGCAGAAGTAGCAGCTTATTTGAATACAACAAATCTTAATAAATCGTTTGTGTTTGATTCATTTTTGCAACATTTGAATTGAATTAAATTGAACTGAACTGTTGGCTCATTGTATAAACATCTCACATCTCCCATAACAGAGACATTCAGTACATCATGTGCAGCAGAAACTGTGTATAATTACAACACGACCAGCTGTGGGCTTACCTGCCGTTCCCTCGGCCACACTGACTACTCCTGTCAGGTCCACTTCCCCACAGTGGATGGCTGTGGCTGTTCTGAAGGAACTTACATGAACGAGGAAGGCCAGTGTGTAGCCCGTGAAAGCTGTCCCTGCTATGCTGAAGGCATTATTGTTCCTCCTGGACAGACCATCAGTAAAGATGGCAGCACATGGTAAATAAAGACTAATTTTTCTTAATTCATGCTGAATCATTCAGGTAAGGAAACTTTCAAAGGTTGATTCTGTTCTTCTGGACATGTTTTCAGTGGAAGAAATATTTTGTCACTCATCCGAGTAACTTCTTCAGTCTGACTGCAGGTTTAGCAATGTTTGCTACTTTTAGTCATAATGCAAATGTACTATTTATGTTTTTCCAGTCCCCAACTCTCTATGGATAACACTCATGGCCATTAATCAGTGGTCATGAGATTTTGCATCATAATGATCATGAAATCGACCAACTGACCATTCTCAATCAGCGGTGCTAGAACAGAATCAACTGGATTTTTATGTTTACCATCACCAACCTAAAATGTTCATTTGCTAAAGTTAATTTGCTGTAAAAACAAAGCTCAGCTAATATTGCAGATCTTTGTTTAGTTATCCACGGTGACTGTGCCAACTGAAACATGACAAGCATTTTTTCTAGATTTGTATTCACTTAACATGACACGTGTTAATGTCAGGGACGTGTTTGATCCGAACAAAACAGGAGGATTAAACGAATATTGAACAGGATGCTGGAAGCTTCTGTATATACACCAACTACAAAGCATTGACTTGCACGTTAGAGGAAAAATGTTGTTCCATCCTATAAATTCATGTTGTGAATGCACCAGTACAACTAGGATGTTTTTTGCCCATGAACATTTTAAATAACACAAAGAATAATAAGAAACTACACGGTTAAAGAATGACTGAGGATATTGTGTCATATAAAATATTTCTCATGTTCCCTCATCATTGTTCTCACAGTGTCTGCAGACAAGGCATTCTCAGCTGCTCTGGAGGAACACAGCTACTAAGTAGGCATCGCAATTAACATTATGCACACAGATTAAATGCTATTGTAGTTCATTTGTTTGATAAAATTAGTAGCCAAACATTTTCAGTTCTCTTTCTTATCATGAAGTTTTCACTCAGTGAACTGTAAATAAATTGGTGGGACATTTCATCATAATATCGTTTATCGTGACAATAAAACTCTGAATGTGAAGCTGTTATATTTTGTTCCCAGGTTTACCATCAGGTTCACCACAATGTGAATATCCCATGGTGTACTTTGACTGCTCCACTGCTCAACCTGGGGCTGCTGGCAC